CATCTGTTGTATCCGATGTTTTGCGTTGATCGTGTTAACGTTACAACGACGTTGAATTCTTCATTCTGCTTTCCATTTTCTTTCTCTCTATGTTCTTTCTCCACTTCGTGGCCTTTGAAGGTCGTTACGGTGTACACCGACGATTATCATTGTCCATTTGTCCGTGTTATCGACAAAACCTTGCGGTAAAAGAAAAGAGTTAAGACAAAGACCGAAAAGTTGATATTATTTATTTGATTTTCTATCGAAAAGATCATTTAATGTATAGAAGAATAGAAATAAGAAGAAGAGATGATGTCCTGTGTCAACAATTCTTTATCAATCGCAACTGTACAATGTCACATTATTTTTCTTTGACACACTTTTTATAATATTCGTGATTACAATTATAAATAATTCTATACATAAATGAACACGCACCGTATTGACGTGCCAGTTGAAATTTTCAACGAAACTAACTATTTCTCGTAGTCAAGCGAGAAGAAGAAACGTTTGGAATAGACGTGAGCGAGTCTCGATCATTGAATGAACACCTCGATAAACCCTTTTGCGGAGTTAGTAGAAGAAGAAAGACACACGCGAATCCAGTTGCTGGACTGGCAGCAATGGTTCGAGATGTGAGCGGGAGTATCCATATTCAGAATCGTCCAGTTTCCAGCTCGGATCGTATGGTGGTTGGTTCATTCAGAAACGGATCTCGTAGAGGATTCCTCGAAAGAGGAAAAGGATAAAAGAGTCAAATGAAAGAGTAAAAGAGTAAGAAAGAAAGATGATGGAAGCGCGTAAAAGAAAATAATGGCTCTTCCTTACTCCGGGAACCTATAATGACGGTTTACACGGCGATTGCATCATGCGACGCGTAGAACTCAATTTATCGTTCATTAAGAACCGCGAGGCAAGCAACCCCGGATGTGGATGCATGAGTACAGGTGTGCTCGCGCGCGCGTGTGTTTGTGTATCCCAGAGAAAGAAAAGGCAAAAGCAACAGAAGCAGCCTTGTGGAGGCCGGCGGCATAATACTTGAAGGAAGTAGGTAACACGTATGCACACCCGCATCCGCTTTTCGTAGGCCCTAAGAGGTACCTACCGTATCGATCAAAACTCGTGAGATTGATCGCTGTCTTGTTAAGAAGTTTTAAAGAAAGGAATATCGAATACTAGGTATTTAACTCGTAAATGATTGTCTTTCTCATACCAGTTAGACAATAATTATTCCCTGCGCAACAGGATGGGCATAATGAAAAAAAAAAACAAAAAGAAAAATAATAGCCAGGTCATCGGCTTTCGAACATATCCGGAAGTGTCTTTCGAAAATATTTCACATGCACGGTCACGAAGGAACCGTTGAGTTAACGTTCATCGGCATGCATTTTGACAGACCGACAACGACGACGACGCGTCATTCATAACTTTGACAGATACTTGATTGCAATTTTTCTGATAGGTACCTACTACTACCGCCCCAACTCATCCTTACCTCTTATTTCCCTCTCTTTTATATTTTGTTTTGTTTCTTTTTTTTACCCCCTTCTTCTTCTTCTTCTTCTTCTTGAAATGGTACAAACCAGAGAGACACGGAAGAAGATTCGCGCTGGAATTCGACGAAAGCGGCTTTTAAATGCGGCGAGATAATTAACGTCGACCCAGAGACGCGGTGCCATCTTTATTCCTGTCGCGCGCCACTCTATTCCTAACCTCTAAGGTCAATTCGTTTTAGCAAGCAAAGTCGCGAGATAATTTATGCTCAGGCGACTGTATCGGCTTATGAGTGTTTCGCTTCGGTATATTCTCTTTTACTTCTCTCTCTCTTTCTCAATCTTTTTCTTTCTTTCTATCTTTATCTTTCTCTTCTTACCCATTTTGTTACAAGACTTTAGTAACACAACGATACGCTATTTCTCATATGGTGTACCAAGCACCGTCATTTTTCTGACTCTCGTGTAACAGCTGTTATATTCTTGAAGAAGAAGAAGAAGAAGAAAAAAAAATAAATGAAATGAACGAATGAGAAGGACAGGACAGGCACGCGTACACATTCAAAAAGATAATTATTGCCAGGGAATTCGTCGTTTGCCTTTTAACGCCTCTGTTTGACTTTGTTCTTCCCTTGATATACGATGCTTGCCAATATTCAAGTTTGATTGACAATCCGTAATCGAAAGAAAAGAAAAGAATAAAAATTTGCCAAGGTATCGTAGGACGTATACACATGTACGTATGCACATGTATGTATAGTATGTACTTTTTCGTATTCTTTTTTTTTCGTTTCTTTTCTTTTCTTTTCTTTTCATTCTTTGACTTCTCTTTTTCTTGTTTCACGGTGTGGACAGAACACCGTGTCGAAGTGTAAAATATCGTAACGACGTGTTAAAACGAACGAACCGAAACGCACGTCGTTGGATGAGAATACTCGAGGAACGAGTATCTTTCTTTCTTTCTTTCTTTCTCCAAGGATCCATCTCCCGTGGTTTTGTTTCTTTTAAAATTATCCTAATCGTTGGTATTATTTCGTAAAAAATATTGACAAAGTTGGTCGATTTAATAATATCTTAAATTATTATTTGATATATAAGAATCTCTCTTGATAAAAATGTAAACGTAAGAAGATATTTAATGTTAATAAATAATCATTTGGATAAATTCTATTTAAACATAAAAAAAAAAGGTAGTATAAAACTCGTCGACGTTTTCTAGGACTTTTTAATGTATATGTGAATAGATAGTAAGAAAAAACTTTTAGAACGACGACGTTACTTTTTAGAAAACAAACGAACAAAGTCCGTAAACACGAACTATTCAAACGGAAATTATTGCTGACAATATTTTCCTTTGACGTTGCCCGTGTGATAGACCATGGAAAATACTGAGTTTGAGGAACGCGACTAGAAATATAGATAGCCCGAACGTTTTATCGTTCGGTTTTGAAGCTCATCGTTGAAGAAGAAGTAGTAGAAGAAAAAAAGAAAAAGAACAGTCAAAGGAATAACAACTGAATGGCCAACGGTTTTCAAACAATGGGGCTTTACTCTTTGACGACGACTAGCAAAGTTTTGCATTCCAGTTACGATATTTGTCGTACGTGCCTCCGACATGCTACCGCGCTCGTAAAACTTTTCTCCCGTTGTTGTAGATTACTAAACGATTCTCCCGGAAGAGTACGCAAGAAGATATTCCAGAAATATATTTTCTTCCTTTTCAAATTTTCAACCAATTGTTAATCTTAGAAAATGATGTAGAGACAATTTGTTTTTTCATTTTTATTTAAAACCAAAATTTCATCAGATTTTCTTTCGTCAAGTTTTCAACCCAACCTAATGGCAATCTCGCGAACTGTTTAGAAAAATTATTATATTTATATATATAACTAAATGTGAAAAATATTGTGCATGTAAAACTTGTTGAGAGAAAGCAACAAATTCTTGAGACGACCCGATACAATAATTTCAATTGCAACATAATTAATAGTCAATATTATATAATTTTTTTGTAATAAATAATTCGGAAGAGAGATCATAGTTTTAAAGAAAATTACAATTCTGGTAATAATTATGTCAAATCCGACGCGTTATATTATGAATAAAAAAATAAAACAACGCGATGCTTTTTACTTACGACGTGTATCGTTTAATAGAATTCTTATGAATAATGAAAAAATGTTACGAGAATGATGAGTAGCGTACGAAATTAATAGTTCGAAAGGTGTCACCCTAATGCCATAAAAGTAAATATTCGATATGAAAATGTAAACGATTTGTGCGTAAAGATTTGTATCGTAGAATGATTCTAATCACGTGTCGAAATTGTTTTCTCGAATAGTTTGCTGATTGGATCGTAGCATCTTAATTAAACGCGTCGTGTGTTTTACGATCGGACGATGACCCATACCTGTTATTTCTTATGACATCGTGCTTCTGATTTATCGAATAATTTATTTCGATAATTTTATTCAAATATAAATTTGTTAATGTCTCAGCTTAAGTTATACATACTATTATATAAAAATATACCTATGCATAATGAATAATTAATCTTCCGATAAGATAATCTGCTTGTTTAAAATGCAAAAAAGAGAAGGGGAAAAAGAATCCGAATAATGGACACTTCGAAGAAAATGCATTATCCTTTTTGAAATGAGGATGACATTCTCGAGTGATGGTAAGTTAAGTTTGAATTGAAGTTGGGACGAGGAGACCGGGAAGAAATGAAAAAAGAGTAATGGAAAGATACGAGATCCCTGGCGTATCCGTGCGAACGCGGCAAAGTAGAGAAAAAGATGAAGTAGAGAGAAGATGAAGAAGAAGAAGAAGGAGAAGCAGAAGCAAAAGTAGAAGAAGAGGAAGAAGAAGAGTAGCAGCAACTGAACGGCGTCGGCATCGGCAGTACGCTCGATTTTATCGGACAGCAAATTCGGCGGTGCGGACGAGTTACTGCCTCCATAAAATTCCAAGCGTTTAACGATGACAAGAATTTATTGGATATTTTTGGTAGCCAGGATGGGACAGTGACCCTGTTGAGTAGTCGTCGTACTCGTTGCTTCCTCCTCCTCCTCCTCCTCCTCCTCCCACCTGCTCACACCTTTTCTCAGCTTCTCCTCGTTCACCGTGTAGATACGCTTCTGCGATCGAGGAAGAAGATAATGGTGCCGAGACGGGTCCATTTATTGAACGTAAATCTCTCTTCTTCCTATCTTTTTTTTTTCTTTTATTTTTTTTGTCGTTTTAGAGAAAACCTAGTGCCGGTAAAGTCATCGGTATAAACGTTGCTGTCCCCTTTCACGACTATCATCCTACCTTGTTTACCTACTCCCCTCATTCTCTCTCTCTTCTCATTCAACGTATTTCATCGAAATACTTAGATCAATGTCGAAAGACGTTTTAACGCGACACAAGGTTAAGAATAGTTTTGTAATTATTTTACTTGTAATATCAATTTACCGAATACAAATAGATTTTGAACGTTCGACCAATTAACGCGTGTGTTTATTGGAAATTGCGTTTCAGGTGAAGCGTCTGGTGAGAACGCGTCCACGGGTACCGGATCTCGTGGTGGCGATCGTGGAGAAGCAGCGGATTTAGGAACGCACACAGAAGAGAACGAGGAGACCACCCTGGCCGCGAACACAGCGGTCGACGGCAGGGGCGGAAGCCCCCAGGACGCCCACCTTTCGGGTTCGGCAACTAGCAGGCCTCCAAGAGGTAGAAGACGTCAAAATCAGAATGGTCTCGATACCGCTCAAGTAAGTTTTTTATTTACTTTTTTTATTCTCTCTCATGAATTATAATACATTCGCTTGAATGACCCCCCTTTAATGACGAAAACTAAATATAATACTTGCGTCATAACTCGTATTAACTCGAATTGAATATTAAAATTCGTATGGTTCGTGGAGGAAAGAAAGAACAACATCGAAAAAAATTACACGCGTTAATTATATTTACCAATTTTTTCTTTTTCTTTCTTTTTTTACTTTTCTGTTCATTTTCAAAATTAACATTTTTTTAGTCGATAGGTTTTTGAGACGCGTAAATAGAATTATCGATATATACGAAGATTACGCATAGCGTGTCGGTGTCTTATTTTTATTCTCTTTCAAATTTCTTTGTGGAGAGTTCGAGGCGTTTGAGCAAATACAGAAAAAAGGAAGAAGGAGTTGGGGCCCAGGACTGTACGAATTTTCGAAATAAAAATCAGCGGTGGAACCGTTTCGAGTGTTTGATCGGTCCTCCCGTAGCAGCGCTCGTTGAACACGTGTGAGAGTTTCGAGAGATTTTCTTTGCGTTGTGACGTAGGAGCATAGAAAAAGTAAGAGAAAGAGAAAGAGAGAGAAAAAGAAAGAGAAAAATAAAGAAATAAAGAGAACTCTCTCTTATCCTTTGACCGGTAGCCACTGTACACCTGTACTTGAAGAGTCCCGTTCGAAATTTCTGACCGGTCGACCGATTCTCGTATATATATGGACGATGTCACTCGTCTGAAAGTGCAGTGTCATTTTTTCGTTGACACACACACATAAGTTTACGTTTGACGCTTTTGTAAACGTTTGAAAAAAAACAGATAAAAATACGACAAAAATCGATGATTATTTTAAAAAAGTATAGTGATCGACTTTTTCCTTATAATTATACTTTTCATTATCTCTCTCTCTCGTTGTATTTTTTGTTCGAGTTTTACTTATAGTAAAAGAAGTCGATGTCTCGCAAGGTGAGAAAGAGATTTAAGGTGGTTGTTCTCCTTAGGGAGAACCCATTTTACCGCCAATCGAGTCTCGTTCTTCTCAGTGTCACGTGGTTACCAGTAGCGTTCTAGCTGCGAAGGAGTCAACTCTTGTGCCACGCGTTGCCTTCATTACCATATCTCGGATGCAATCTGTTCTCGGGGAATTAATGCGACCGAGATATTTCCTGCTAGTTCGTATTACTTCTTATCTTACATTAGAGAGAGAGAGAGACCGCGAGTGAAAACGTGGTTAAACGTAGTACGGGTTTTCCGATCGAGGACGCATAAAAATGAGATAACTCCGACAAGTTCCCCACTCTTCTTTGATTTGAACTGTTCCCATCGTACAATTTCAGGTTAAAACTGAACGACTCACGCCCGACAATAATTCGACCTCGTCTAGAAGCGTAACGCCGTCTTCGTCGAGTCATCCAGGCACGCCGCCAAATGCAACTTCCCTCGGTGGACCCGAAGGGCCACCACAACCGCCGCATCATCTCAAGCACATGGAGCAGATGATGGGACGAAACTGCAGCGATTTTATGAGAAGCCTAGCCGCCAAGTACAACAACGCCAACCCTAACGAGTAAGTTTATTTATCGATAATGTCCGATGTAATTTCATTTAGTTTTGCGATTCCTATTAATATTATATTTCCTGGAAGAAAATGATGACTAGGTGAATATTAAATTGTAGAAATTAATAATATTCGTCGCGTTAGATTTTATTTATAACTCTTTTTTTAAATATCAAATAAAAAAAGTTATGAAACACATTTGAGAATTAATAATAACCAAAATTATTAATAAGCAAGATGACTGGACTAGCATATTTTATTTTTAAATGGTACTTAATTAATATTTACACCTAATCAATAACTCCACGTGCTATTTTGTCGATTGCATTAAAAATTCTTCTTCTTCTTCAGATGTATATGTGAGATATCCCAAATAATTTCTTGTTCTTTTACCTCGAAACTTGTTAAATATTAATTAATAGCTTGATTTAATGTTTATGCGAAGTTGAGTAATTCTTTTTTTTTGTCGTTGTTTCTAATTAGAATATTTATAAGAGGAAGAAAAAGTGAGAGGCATAGCTTTGATCGTGAAATATTTATCAGTAATCTTATATTTTTGTTGGTCTCAGTTACTTCAGTACTCTAAGGAACGGCTATCCTCCTGGTTTGGATCCCAGGTTTCCTGCGTTCAAGACCGCAGCCACGCCGTTCGTCGGTCTAATGGCCCCGCTTGGCGCGCCACAACCAACCACCGTTCAAACCACCTCACCACTCTCCAACAAGGATCCCAAGGAACAGAAACAGGACAGCATCTTCGGGAACCCAGTGTTTCCACCTATGCTCGATATGTCATCGACGCAAGCACTCTTGCACATGGTGCGAACGGCTAACGCGGCTCAGAACGCAGCCGAACTCGAAACTTATCTCAAAGGTGACCACGAATATTCTAATTACAAACAAAATTAAGATATTTATCTCTGTCTGATGAGATAATAAAATAATACGCGTAATTATGTATAGAATTTTTCGTTTTCGAAACAAATAAAAAGCAAACAAAAAGTAATAATAATCCTTTCTGTTATCGCATTGTCGTAATAAAAAGAAGAAAAGAAAGAAAGAAAAATCTATTATCATGAAATCCCACAGGTGCAAATAAACGTGACGCGGGAGTGACGAGTCCTTTGGATCTCTCAACGCCAGGAGGATTTGCACCTCGTAAAAGGCAAAAAACAGAAACGAGAAGATCAGGGAGTATATCTCCGAAACCGAAAGCAATCCCACCTGGTCCGAGCACGCCGCCACCCATCAGATGTCCTTCTTTGTGCGGGCACATGCCGTGCGGAGATGGACAAGCGGTTAATCGTTGGACCATTGAAGACGTCGTCAATTACGTCTCCTCGATCGACACTTGTGCGGAGTACGCTCAGGTAAGTTTCACCTTTTCTAACATCCTTCAATCTAACGAGTCTCTCTTGATACGGATTAAAGAATTCACGAGAATAAGAATAAGAAGAAGTAAGAGGAGAAGAGTTCGACTAGTTATGCTACTTTACTTATTCTCTTTCTCTTTATCTTTCTATTTCTTTTTTTCTTGTTTTGTTCGTTGTTGTTTCTTTTCTCTCCCGGCATGCCGGGAATAGTTTTAATTGCTTTTGAAAGTCGCTCTCGTAACGACGCATCGCGCAATATTCTCCGAAGCTGTTTTCGTTCTTCTATTTAACTCCTACGTCGTCAGGTGAGGCAACTGTGAGATCTGTAGAAGGCTGGCGAATGACCCGACATCAGTCAATCCGGACAGTCGGGAAGAGGAGGCCGCGTGCCAGCTAAGGAGAACTCTATAATGACCCCTCGAAGCTAGTAGATCGACCCTCTCCACCCCTCTTCCCATCTCCACACTTTCTCCCTTACCTCCCTTTGCTCCGCCACTCTCTTACCCGCCGGTGAAATTCATCCAGCGTTCAAAAGCGTTGCAATCGCTTTTCCTTTTCTCTCTTTTTCTCTATCTTCTTTAGCAAAGAACAGTTTCAATCGAAAGTACGATTTCTTTTCGCGATAACACTTATTGCTCGAATCTGATTTTATAAAAGGGATCATTCGGTATCGCGAATAAACGAGATGCGCCATTTTTCAGAAATAATTTAACACCGACTCTACAGTAGAAGAGGATTCTTTTACAACAAAAATATAAAAGAAGAAAAAAAGAGAGAGAGATAAATACTGACGATCTCTCTTGCATCCTGTCAGATTCGATTATCCTCGGCCTATCGTTAGGTCTCGTTTATGGTTACGCTCTTCGAAACGTCAGACTGTCAAGGCCGTGAATTTTTGCGCGAGCGCACTTGGCATGCATATTCATGACACGCTCACTGGAAACGTAATCGAAGATGAACAGAGAGAAAGAGAAGGGTAGAGAGAGAAGGATAGAGAGAGGGTCCTCGAGTATTTCGATCATTTTCCCTTGAACCGATTCGGACAATGACAAGGGCTCCAATGTGATTATAATACTGGTACTTTATGCCTTTAAGAATTCTCTTTTTCTTCATCTTATTCTACTTTTTATTTTTTCGAGACAGAAAGAAGTAAACTTCTGGAGTTCCTGGAGTTCGATTTTTTCCCTCGGCAAATAAGGTACCGCGAAAGAGAAAGAGAAAGAGAGAGAGAGAGAAAGTGAGACGGATCTTCTCGAAATTATGGCACCGATCCTTATCCCCATAAAAGGATACCGCGGAACGAATCGACGACGGTGAGAGCACGATCCTTTACGTAGATTCACTCGAATTATAGCATCGATCCTTATCGGTTCTTCTTCTTCTTCTCCTTCTTCTTCTTCTTCTTATTCTTGTTGTTCCTCTTGAAGACACCGAAGAAACGGTTGCAACGTGCGCGTGCAGATAGTTCTTCGGGCTTTTCTCTTTCGCGAAGGATACTCGCGTGGCGTGAAATACTCACCGTGAGCTGGCAACCGAGGTAATTAATATCGCAGCGCGATATGACGCGCCAAATGGTGCTTAACGATTATGCCTTACGATTTATTTACTGAGCAATGAAGATCTACGAGTATCGCAACCGTATTTCACGTTAGAAGAGAGAAAGAAAGAAAGAGAGAAAGAGTTTGTGTGTGTGTGTGTGTGAGAGAGAGATGGAGGAATAAAACGAGATGGGAAAATGAAATTGATTCCTTCGCGAGAGAAAATTTACGCTCGTTTCGTCACAATTTTTTTTTTCTCTTACTTTTTGTTATCGTTCGTTTTTTTTTTTTGTTACAATCGTCACTTTCCAGTCTCTAACGCGGCATCCACGATATTCGCATTTTTCTTAGACATTTTGCAATCACGTAACGATCTTTAGGATTACGTCGAATGTAACAAAAAGAAAATGGAATTTTATTTCAATCAGATTAAAGATTTGTTTTTCGATTCTGGTGTTATTATACTCTGTGAACGAGTTTTCATGCATATGTATATGCTTATCCTCCCCCCCGATTTATACGGAAGATCTTTCTCCTCAGAATACCATATAAATCGAAAGCAAATCATAATTTATTCAGTTATTTATTTAATTAATAGTTTGATCTTTTATTTATATCATTATTATCTTTTCAATATTTTCTATTGCGATATCTATTACGTATGTAATTGTGCTCATACTCGTCTAAGTTCTAGCTGTTATACTTTTTTCTAATAAAATTTTTATTATTTCTTATAATTCTAATTATTGTTTGACTCTTTCTCTATGACATAAACTATCTAAAATTTTCATTTTCCATTTCTATGTAACTTTTCATGTCATTTCTTTTCTTTTTTCTTTTTTCATTTCTAACATAATAAAGTCTAATCCTAATTTTAAGTAAATTATAAAAGTGTTATAAAAACTATATATAATTACTTATCATAAACAACGTAACCCCTTCGTAAATCGGTGGATAGATTTACTTCAATTGATGATAATTAGAAAAATAGAATTTAGAAAGGAATTCCTTATAAGTTTGACCTTGCAAATAAGAGGGACGAGGAAGTGAAGAACTCGGTCGTCGACATTGCCGTGATCGTTAATAATCATCGGCAACCTTTCCTAACTCCATTCGAAGAAGAACGAGCAGTAGCGAGATGTGCGCGGATACTTATCTACAGGAATGAATCTTAGCAGACTAATAACAGCCGCTTAAGAGAAACTAATCTATCGATCCGACATCGGGTTACCGGATACCTTCTCATTTTCTCGGTGATCTAGCGACTCTATGCTAGCTTCGTTGGCGTGCGCGCCTTCTCATTCTCTATCCTTCTTCCTTTCTTTCTTTCTTTTACTATCTTTCCATTGGTTTTATTCCTAAGACGATCGCATGACGCAATTAGAAACGAACAAATGAACGAACGGACGAAAAGTAAAAGTTTCGTCTTTTAAAGTTAAACCCAAACGAAGAAAAGAGAACGCGTAGGTGTAATTCACTGTAAAATGAACTCACGTCTGCTCCATTCTCTCTCTCTCTCTCTCTTTTATTCTTTATCTTTATCTTCGTAAAAAGGGAAAAAAAAGAGTAATAAGGTGGTGTGATTTGAAAAGCAAATCGTATCTATATAAAGACGTATACAAATGTAGGTGTACATCTCTTTTGTATACTATTATAGTATCTAGTTATATACATTTATATATATATATATATCTATCTAGTTATATCTATCGTTGTGGCACGTTCTCTCAGATCGTTAGAAAGTCGTGAATGTAGATCGGTCTCTTGGAGAAGAACATACATAGGTCTTCCGTGATGGCAAAGCTTACTACAGGAGAGGATAGGATAGGATAACTGTCTCGTGTCTTCTCGTGTGTCCTCTGACATCCCACGCACGCGTGCTCTTCTATCTTGCAAGCTTCTTCGATCCTCTTGTCTCTCTCTTTAGCTTGGCCTTCTTTTATCGGTCTTTTTCTTCTCGTCCTTGTCTATTCAGAGATCACTGTTCTTTGACTTTGTCTCCTGTCTTTCTGCAAACCTTCCTTCCTCTTCCTCTTCCTCTTTCTCTTCCTCCTCCTCTTCCTCTTCTCCCTTCTTTTTCTTCTTTTGCTTCTTCTGTCGGGGTAGGTACTGGTCGAAGAGGTCACACTGGAAATCCGTAAAAGAGAGGAAAGGAGAGAAGGATAAGAAGAGGTAAAGTAGATAATGTCCTGAAGCTCTCGAGCAGCAGCAAGAGGGAAAAGATCAAGGGATACGTAACGTCTTTCTAATTTTAACGGGCCTTTAACGACCCTCCGTAGTCCCTCGTCACGTCGTTCGAACATTATCGTGGAAAAATCCTTAGCGACATCGAACCCCATACCTTCCTTCTTCTTCTTCTTCTTCTCTTTTCCTTCCTCTTCTTTTTCTTCTTTTTATTTCTGTTTCATCGAGATTTACTCGAGTATAACGTCCTTCGTTATACTCTGAGAAAACGTTTCTTCAAATAAAATTGTACTAACTGTTAGAGTTGACTATACCATTAAAGAAAAAAAAGAAAGAAATAAAATACAAGTTATACGATTGCACCGTTTGTTTCCCAACGATAGAAATTCCATCTCTACCGAAACCCCTCTCCCATCCCTCCATCCGGATGATTAGTAACATAGGTTTCAAGTCTTCCGAGTTACGCGTTTACGAGAAAAGGTCATGGAGAGAGTTCATCGTTCGAGAAGCTTTCGATAAATTCCACGAAACGAGATTTTCACTCGGGAAATAAAAAGAAATAGAAGAAGTAGAAGAAGAAGAAGAAAAAAAAGAATGACGAGGTTGTTGAGAACTTTAGAGAATCTTACTTGAAATGTAGGAGGAATTTGAAAGATTATACCGTGTTTTCCCTGTTTGGTGAACGACATGTTAGGGATAAAGAGCGTTTAATTTATACATTGCACCAGATATAACGTCGGTTACAACAAGAGATACCTATACTTACGTAAGACTTTTCCAAGGAATTAACGACGAAGAAAGAAAGAAAGAAAGAGAGAGAGAGAGTAGGCTAATTCCTTTTCACGAGCTCGAAGAAAAGAGTTGAACTGGATGAAGCAGCCGATTCCTTCGTAATCTAGACGAACCCAACCAACCATCCGTCGATGGATGGATCTTTTCCGAGCGACTTACTACTACGCAGACTAGATATCTTTCTCTTTTTCTTTCATTGGTTCGATATAGAGGAAGACTTTCTAACGATTCGCCGCGCAAAAGCATGATCTAACCCCGAACATGACCTCTCGTTCGGTGCGGAGTTAACGCGGTGTGTAGCACCTCTCTTTCAGTTGGTGCACACGTAGGTGCCTGCCAGCACCGGTCAATTAATCATTAATAGGCGATAATATCCATCGAGTATATCGGTACTCTGTTTTATGGCAGGCGAGAGTCTTGTCTGCCATGTCGAACGATGCTAATGCGAACGAGAACCGGAATCCTTTTATTCAAGAGAGAAAG